TTGTTGTTATTGTTTGTTTCACTTTATGTTACATGAGGTCCAATACTTCAATTTATGTTCACTTTATATAAATTATATGGTTCAATTTATGTTAACAAAGATTTTGTTTTTTAAATTTAATTTATAATAACAGTAGTTAGCAAATAAAATTTTGTTTTGTTAACTTGCTGCTAATTTCATGAATCACATAAAATGATGTTCCATGTTAGAATTAACCTCAAATTGGATATGGCTATGTTAGTTTTAAAATTCTGTCGAGATCAATTTAATTAAAGATCTTATATTTTGATTGATAACTTTTTATATATTATATATAGGGCTGAAAATGAGTTAAGTCGAGTCGAACACGCCTCAGCTCAACTCGACTCGTTAAGAATTGGTTCGGCTCAAATCTTGGTTAGAGTTTGATACGAGCTCTTTTTTAAGCTCAAACTCAACTCGTTATAAGTTCCCGAGCAACTCGGTTCGACTCGTTAGGTTCATCTCGTTAGGTTAAGCTCGTTTATTTCACGGACTTAAAAGCCATTTTTTAAAGTCTATTTTTTACATATTTGACATTTTAAATTAATAATATTTTAAAAGAAAAATATTGAAATAAAATAAAAGTTATTAGATTGGAATTTAACGTTGTCACCAAAATCCACTAATTCAAAAGTTAATTAATTAATATGATACTTATTTTATTTGAGTAATTATATTTAGAAATATTTTGCTCACTTGAGAATATAAATTGTACATTAAAACCGTTAGATTAAAATAAAATATAAGGCTAAAATTTATATTAAATCTTTAAACATACTCTTAAAGATAATATAATCCTTCTCGTATATAATCGAGTTGGCTCATGAGTCTAACGAGTCCAACTATGTATGGTTAAAGTTCAACTTATTTAGTTAACAAACTTAGTTTTTCACTCATATTCAGCTCATTAGGTTCATGAACCAAGTTCAACGAACTAATTGTCGAACCGAGTTCCGAATTGTTTTCAAGTTGGTTTGGTTCATTGTCAACCCTAATTATATACAATGTGAATTTGCGGTCTTTAAATTTTTGCCCAGTCTTCAAAAAATTTCTGGCTTCGCCACTGTATCCAGTGGTTACCATTATTAACATATATAGATAAAATAAGTAGATATAGTTGAGATTCTTCAAGTTTGTCATGGTTTTACAGTAGCTTGTGTAAAGACGCTAAAAATGACGTGCATACATTTTTTGGGTGTGGAATCTTACTACAAGCTTGGTGATGGTCCAAAATGTCGAGATTGTCACCAATCAATCCCAATTCATTCCATTTTTCATGTGCGATCAAGTAAGTTTAAAACAATTTAAATTTTTAAATATGTTTATTTCTAAGTATTTCATAATAACTATTTTTGTAGGTGATCCGCATATGGGATGAATTATGAAAATGCCTCATCATTTTGATAATGGATATCATTTGTTCTTCGATCATTTCGAAGCAGACAATGCATTATCTTCAAAATTAAGCTACTAATATTTAAAGTTTAAAATTATTTTTTTTAAAAAACTAATTATTTGAATTTATGTAACAATTTATATGGAGGTCATATCTTGAGCTTGTAGATGATGATCCAAGAAATAATGTAATGTGGAGTTTAACAACATTTTTAATCGCTTTCACAATAGTGAAAATGCATCATACAGATAAGGTTAAACTCCATTTTTACATTCAACAAGATATTCTGATTCCACCTATGTGCATGGATGAATATCTCACTAGTCTAGCGTCATACCAATAGAAATTTAGAAATTGGAAAGATCTTAATAAACAATAACGTCTTCAATGAAAAAGTCATTGCACTACTGTCTTACAATATATCATGCCCACTGAATATAAACTGAGTTATGAGTACTTGACTTGATATAAAAGCATTTCAAATTTATATCTATCACATAATAAATTGCTATTTAACCCTAACCAACTCCCATCTTCAAACTTCTAATGCATCAGACCATTAACAAGCACTAACATTCCAACACAATCACATCGCACCACCAACACCCAATAACCTATCTTCAACACCCAACAACCTTTCAACCCAACATAACCACCTTACGCTCCAAGTTAACACCACCAAAACACACAATAACATAATTCATCATTTAACCCAACCACTTACAACACCCAACAACAAAATCCACCATTTAATCGAACAACCTACGAAACCCAACAATAAAACTTAGAATTTACCCCAACAACCTTAAACACCCAACAACAAATATCATACACTACCCACTATAACACATACTCATGCACACAATCTACCCCTGAAGAATACGACATCTTTCAAACACCCCAACCACAAATCTCTTTTTTCCCATCACAACCATTTACCCTGAATTCATCCCAAGGACAACCAAACTACTTCCCTTTCATCCAAAACTCAACCCAAACTACTAGCTAACCAAACTGGATTTATGAGAGAAACACATTAAATTATGACAATACAACTGTGGAGTTAACTATTTATGAGAGAAACACATTAAATTATGGCAATACGATTGTGGAGTTAACTATTTATGAGAGAAACACATTAAATTATGACAATACGACTGTGGAGTTAACTGGTGATGTGGTTGCATCCTTCATGAATCCTAGAAATGATGCAAAGACTTATACTCTGCCACTCAATATTGGTGAGAACCAAATAGTACTAGAAGGACTACACGACAAAGAGTACCTCTTCCGTATGGAACTGACATCACTTCCCACGACTCAGACAACATGAAATTTAATAAATAATTATTTTAATTAATTTATCTTTTACCATATTTTATTGGAAAAATGGGTGATGCAGTAATAATATAAATTTTGTTTACATTGTCAATCAATGACGACTATGCATCCCGCCAAGTTAGACTGAAAATTTTTAACTAATTATATGACATGACAAAATAATGTATTCTTATTAGATAACACTGGAAAACATTTTTACACTATCGGTGCATCATCATTAAACTCTATTTTATTTTTACATTTAATATATTATTATTTTATTTATAATTAAATTTAAAAAATTAGTTTATATTTTTAGTACATAATTAATATTATATTATTGTTTTAAAAAGTAATTATAATTAAAAAAATATTACTAAAATTAAAATAAAATTCGTTTTAAAGAATCATCAATGTATTATTGGGTGGATCCTCTTAACACTTACCAAAGACCTCTAAAATATTGGAGTCCTATTAAACTTTTAAAGCTTCTACAAAGCAATTAGCAGACCTTCATTAAGAAAAATTATTTAAAAACATAATAAAAAGGTATTTGTGATGGAGAGTATGGTTAAACTGATAGTTTTGTAAAAGATTTTAAATTTTATCTAATGAGAAAAATGAATGTTAGTGAAAATAATAAAAAAGACGTATTGTTTGCTTTTCTCAAACCATAATGATTGAACCGCAAAAACTCTTAAGAATTAAATAACTAGAGACTGAAGAAGGGGTAGGTATTAATATTATTGAAAAGATAATGATTGACAAATAGTATCGGTGACGACCCAGCAAGGACAACGTGAGAACTAGTCACGCAATTCCCGCTTACTTGCCTGCAGTTTCCTTATGGACTAGTACTAGTACAATATTCTTAAAATAAATTAATATGGTATAGAAAAAGAAAAAAAAGATGATTAAAATGTGGTCCCTAAGGTCTAATAAATATGATAAAGGAAATTTCTGATACGATAAATAAATAGTTACTATTGAAAAATAATTAAAACTGTACTAAAAACTAAAAGGAGCAATGCTATCTTTTTTCATCCCTTGTGAGTTTAATCAATAGTTATATAGATATATCAAATATAGACATAGGTTCAAAATCACGACATTCTATTTTATTCATTTCTTAAATATGAATTTCACCAATTAACAGAAATAACATATTATACTTAAGTACATACTTGCTTGCTATTGTGTGATTGCTTTAAAAATAAAAGAGAAGAGATAGTTAAGACATGAGTTAATTTATTATAGATTAATTTAGAATAGAAATAGAGAGGAGGCAAGAAAACAAAATAGAACCTGTCATTTATTTATAATCTCTTTAAAAGAGAGAATAAAGAGATAAGAATTATAATTTTGTTAAGAATTTTATATTTATATCTATTTTATATTAGTTTAATATTTTTAAAAATTAAATATAATATATTAAATTAATAGTGTAAAATAATTTTATACAATTATTTAATATGAATTTATCATTAAATCATATCATATAATTAATTTAAAAATATTAAGATAATTTAATAGAATATATAATGATAATTAGTTGTTAATGTAAAATAATTTTACGTTATCACTGCATATATTTTTTTCTCTATACTTTAAAAATATTTTTATACTTTTGAAAAAAATTAACAGAAATTACATGTATTTAAATTTCTACGAAATAATAATTTTAAGTGTAATCTCTATTACTCTACTAAATATTTTAGTGAAATTTTAGTCATTAATAATATTGAATTTATAAAACAGATCTATATTTTGAAAAGATTCTATAAATTTGAATACTTTTAGTTTTCAAAATAGACTTTATAAAATACAAATAAAAAGCTTTTTTTGAGAAACTTAATTTAAAAGTTTTTTATAAGAAAAATTAAAAATATATTTAACCTATTTTAAAATTAATGCTTAATATGAGAGAGTGATATAACATTAAAGTCAAAAAGAAGATAAGATTCCATAGACAAGTTTGTGGTGACATGAATGCATCAACTAACTCATACAAAACACATATTTTTTTCATATTAAGTTTGACTCAGAAAATCCTCAATTATTTTTTATAATTTATACTTAAATAAAAGTAAGAAAGAAAAATCTCTGAATTATTCTTTGGAGAATTCAAAGCAGATCCTATATTTGAGTTAACCACTCAATTCCCATACTCACATTTTCTTCCTTTCAAACAGCACAACACTCTCTATTACATTAACAACTTTCATACAAAAACGACACCGTTTCAAAGCCTTTTAAGAGAAAAATGAATAGGAAGAAAAACCAAGTGAATCTCGACGACGAACAAATCGCAGAACTCCGAGAAATTTTCCGATCATTCGACCGAAACAACGACGGAACCCTAACGCAACTGGAACTAAACTCCCTTCTCCGATCGCTTGGTTTAAAGCCAAGCGCTGAACAACTGGAAGGATTCATACAAAGAGCAGACACGAACAACAACGGACTGATTGAATTCTCGGAGTTCGTTGCTTTGGTGGCGCCGGAGTTGTTGCCGGCGAAGTCGCCGTATACGGAGGAGCAACTTCGACAGCTGTTCAGGATGTTTGATCGGGATGGAAATGGATTTATAACAGCGGCGGAATTGGCTCACTCGATGGCGAAACTGGGGCACGCGTTGACGGCGGAGGAGTTGACGGGGATGATAAAGGAAGCGGATATGGACGGTGATGGGACGATCAGTTTTCAGGAGTTTGCTCAAGCGATTACTTCGGCTGCTTTTGATAATTCATGGGCTTAATCTATGGATTAGTCTCTAATCTTTCCGGTAATAATAGCAATACAATTTGAAACGTTTTATTATTATTATTGAAACTTTATTTGAACTATTCTATTTACAAATTTTGGGAGTGAATCAGCATTTTCATCTGTAAGTTTAATTATTATATTGAACTTAGAACAATGGTTTTAAAGATTTTGTGTTTAAGGATGGGAATATTTAATGCAATATGTTGATTCTTATGGATATTTTTGGGAATATATTTTGCTGAAATAATTAAATTGACTAACACTTTCTAATTAAAATTATTAAACAGAACTTTTGCAGGAGAGCAGAATTATATTAATTAAAATGGTATGAACAATAGCATTTTGAGTAAAAAAATATGATGAAAGAGCATGTTAAAAAATGAGATGGTAAATGATTTATTATATATTAACCAAAGATTTTGAGTTGGAATTCAACTATGAGTATATAATAGTGTTAAATTTTTTGTAGGAGAATTTTGTTGTCAATTGTATATCCCTTTTACTAGAGAAATTAGTCATTGCAATTACTTTTAGAAAACTAAATTTTTCTCATATTATCAGATTTGTGGAAGACCAAAATAACGTGAAAGATCATTAAAATAAAAAGTGAAATCCATAAATTGATTAATTTTTCCTCACAAAAAGACACGAATTTTATAGTCAATAAAATAAAAAAGATAAATCGTTATGAATTAAGATCTCTTTAAAATTTTCAAAACACATTGGTTATTTGCTATTTATTTTTCTTATCTCTCTTTTCTTTCTCTTTTTCTTATTGACCAACAATTTCTACTTGAAGACTAATTTCAATATGTCTTCACACATCGATCATTCAATAGTCATTCTCAAACTATTATTCTAGCAGGTCTACTAAAGTTAAGTACAACTTTAACTTGTCGATACTCCCCACGTTGTTAACATGTTTGCTGAGTTGTCACTTTCTTGAATCTTGGATCAATGTTAGCACCTCATCCTCAAGCAAATATGTGATAAAATGATAACGAAGTTCAATGTGTTTTGTTCTTGAATGAAATGTTAAAATCGTTGACAAATGTATTGAACTTTGACTATCACTATACAAAACACTAATCTCCTGCGTAAAACCCAACTCTATGAATAATCCTTGAAGCCATATTAATTCCTTGCTAGATTTTGTGACGGCTGCATACTCAGTCTCAGTAGTGGATAAAGCAACAATCTTTTGTAACTGCGTTATCCAACTAAATGCTCTAGTACCAACAGTGAATATATAACCAATCGTACTTCTTTGGTGATCAAATTCGGCAGCAAAGTTTAAATCAACGTAGCCTTGTACTTTTATTTCTTCTTTGACAAAGTAAAAACATTTCTTAGCGGTGCCTCATAGATGCCTCAAAATCCACTTAACTACTTTCCAATGAGCTTTTCGTGGATTTTCCATAAACCTGCTTACAACTCCCACTACTTGGCCAATGTCTGGCATAATACAAATCATTGTGTACATCAAACTTTCTATGGCTGAAGCATATGGGATGTTAGCCATGAATTCACTTTATTCCTCCGTCTGAGGGAGGTTGGTCCTCAAATAGGAAAAAATGACTAGCCAACGACGTGTTAACTGGCTTGGCCTTTCCCATGTTGAATCTTTGCAAAAACACAGTTGATTTAATTTTCCTGAGATAAATACAAAATTCCTCTTTGCTTATCTCTTGTGATTTTCATTCCAAGAATCTTTTTTGCTAGACCTAAATCCTTCATGTTAACTCATTTGATAACTGCATCTTCAAGTTTCTGATCTCGTTCATATTTAAGCCTGCTACCAACTTGTCAACGACATAAAGTAACAAAATGATATAATTGGATTTGTATCTCTTAAAAAACAATAATGGTCAGTATTTTACTTCTAGAAACCTTTCTTGTGCATGAAGCTTTCAAAATTCATATACTATTGTCTTGGAGCTTGTTTTAGGCCATACAAGCTCTTCTTTAGTATGCATACCGTACTTTGTTTCCCTTATTTTAATACCATTATCTTGGTGCAGGTATATCTCCTCAACTAAATCTCCATAAAGAAATGAAGTATTCACGTCTAATTGCTCAAGATAGAGATTTTCACTAGAAACAATACTTAACACGAACATGATAGTATTGTACTTCACAAATGGAGCAAAAATTTCAGTGTAGTCAATTCCTCCCTTTTTCTTGAATCCTTTTACAAGTAGTCATGCTTTGTATCACTTAGAGCCATCACATTCTTCCTTTACTCGATACAACCATTTGTTGTAAAGTGCCTTCTTTACACTAGGTAACTTAGCTAGTTCCCATGTTTGATTGAAGTTTAAAGATGTTATCTCATCTTTCATTGCAAGCTTCCACTTACTAGCTTTGTGGTCGGACATGCTTCTACATAGTCTGCAGGCTCACCTTCATCAGTCAACAAAAGTAGTCCATGTATCCCCTATTAGGCACATGAGGCCGAGAAGACCTTCTCAATACATGGGTTAAAGTATGAGTCACTGATGCACATAAGTGATTAAGGCAGGAATAAGCTTGATCTAAAATCAAAGAAGTGCATTTTTATCGATTATAGTGAGGAGGAGTTTGACTACCACCAATGGGATGACCCATAACAGATTATAGTAGATATGTGATCTTCAAATAAAGAGCGATGTACAAGGACATGCATAATACATGCACCCACAACTCATAACTGAGTGGGCCAGTTTATGTGGAGATGGGGGATGCCCATAAAGTCTTATAGTTGAGAATTCTCAGTCAGAATAATCAGTTGAACAAGGCATTGAGCAACAGTCTGACGCATCTGAGATTCATACTCTAACTCATGTATTGAGTAGGTCTTTTTAGCCTCATGTTCCTAATAGGGAGATACAGACTACATGTTGTTGAGTGATGAAGCAGATCTTGAAGATTATGCAAAAGCATGTCAGACCACAAATTCCAACAAGTGGGAACTTCCTATGCAAGACAAGTTGAAATATTTAATCTATAACCATACATGGGAACTATCTGAATTACCTAGGGGAAAAGGCACTTCAAAACAAATGGGTGTATTGGTTAAAGGAGGACCATGATGTCTCAAAGAGATACAAAGCCCAACTAGTTGTCAAGGATTTTAGCAAAAAGAATGAATTCACTACACTGAAATCTTTGCTCCAATTATGAAGCTCAATACTATTAGGTATGTCCTAAGTATTACAACTAGAAAAGAGTTATACCTTAAGTAATTAGACGTGACGACTACGTTTCTTCGTGGATATTTAAATTAGGAGATCTATATGTACCAGCTTGAAGGTTTCTCAGAGGAATAGAAACAAAATATGCTGCGCAGATTAAAAAATAACTTGTATGGTTTGAAACAAGCTCTAAGATAGTGGTATAGGAAGTTTGAAACCTTCATGCACAAGGAAGGTTTTTAGAAGTGTAATGTTGACCACTATTATTTATCTAAGAGATATTTGTCTAGTTATATCATTTTGCTACTTTATGTCGATGATATGTTAGTAATAGGTCCATATATGGATGAAATAGAAACTTGAAGATTCAATTGTCAAAATAATTTGACATGAAGGATTTGGGTCCAACAAACAAGATTTTCGGAATGCAAATCACGAGAGATAAGAAAAGAGGAATCTTAAAGTTATCTCAGGCAGAGTACATCAACCATGTTTTGCAAATATTCGACATGGAAAATACCAAGTAAACTACCATACCATTGGCCAGTAATTTTTGTCAATCCAAGAACCAGTCCCCTTAAACAGAGGAAGAGAGAAAATTCATGGCTAAGATTCCATATGCTTCAGCCATAGGAAATTTGATGTATGCAATGGTGTGTACTAGGCTAGATATTGGCAATGGAGTGGGAGTTATAACTAGGTTTATGGAAAATCCATGAAAAGATCATTGGGAAGTAGTTAAGTGGATTTTAAGGTATCTACAAAGAATCACAGAGAAGTGTCTCCACTTTGAAAAACTAGAGTTAAAAGTACAAGGCTACGTAGATGCAAACTTTAGAGGTGAAGTTGATCACCAAAGAAGTACCAACGATTATATTTTTACTGTTGGTTGGATGTCACGGATACGGAAGATTGTTGCTTTATCCACTACAAAAGATGAGCATGTAGTAGTAACATAAATCAGTAAGGAGTTGATATGGCTTCAAGGATTATTAACGGAGTTAAGATTCATCTTGAAGAAGAGTGTTTTGCATAGTGACAGTCAGAATACAATACTGTAGCACCCCAAAATTTGCCTTTCCGTTTTAGCAGTATCTGGCTTTTGGTTCTTTGCATTTTCGCATTTCTGCATTTGCATAGTGTCATACCCTAAATTTGTCCTACCCTTTTTCAAATATTTTCGTTTTTTATTTATTCTTGTATGTTTTACATTGCCCGCTTATTTTTCTTGTTATTTAGACATGTGTCTGCTCGCAATTGGCTGATTTTTCAGAACTTTATCTTTTTGACCAATCAAAGCATGACACATGGCCTAAATACATTTTTTGTGAATATTAATTTTCTTAACTTCTTAAACTTTGTTTTGTTTTAAAATACTACTAATAATTTTTGTTATATCCGTTTCGTTTATAAATTTTAGTTTGTTTTTTTACTTATTGTAAATATTTACTTAAATGTTATTGTAAATATTAATATGATTTAGTTAATTACTATTATTAGCTTTTAGTATAAATATTTATTTGGTTAATTAATTAGTTAGTAAAAATTATTTTAAAAAAAAGAGAAGGGAAATTGAAGTAATGGAACTGGCCCATCGTGTAGGCCCATTGGAGAGGCTAAGGGAGTAGAGTCTGCACTTTATAAAAGAAGAGGGGAATTTGATTCAAGAAAAAACCCTAAGTAACTGTTCATCTTCCGCCTCTACTCAAACCGGCGCCGTTAACCCTCTTTCAACCCTAAAAAAAACCTAGAAGAGGCTCTTCTTCTTCCATAACATCCGCGAAACCACCCTTCTCCCTCACCAGAAAATCCAACCCTT